AAAGTGTGTATAAACAAAATGACAAACGTCATTCCTCCAAACTTGAAAAATTACAAAAATCATCCAAAAAGACAAACACAAGCCACAAACAAGTTTGCACACTCAACGTTCACAAGAACAGCAACATTTAAAACGTGAAGTTCAGACTTTCCCAAGAGACTCTTGATAAAGAAATATTTGCCACACTTCAAAATCACTTTCTTACTTTATACCACCACCTTGAAAAACTGCCACCTTTTTCACACGGTTACCTTCAACTCCGATCCTCCAAAATTCGCCAAAATTCAACATTTTGGTTTTTATTTAATTTTTAATGGATTAAGGACCGTGCAATCCCAAGAAAAGAGTTAATCACGATAACAATCATCCAGAGCCCAATTTCGAGAAACGGCTAAAAGCAAAACGAGCTAAATCCTATTTACTTGGTTAGCAATGCTCAGCGGGGAACCGGTCCCACACAATGTGCATCGCTTGAAAGATTGGCTGGTAACCTATTTTTGGTAAGCAAATATAAAGCGGGCTTAATAGATTTCTTCATTTAGGGCGCAGAAATTAGTTCCTGATTACAGAGAGGGTATATAACTCAGTGCAGTATAGCAATGGTAACCCCAGTTTAGCAGCCTCTATCAACAACTGCAGTGTGAACAATACCCCTTTTACCCGAGGTTACTTTGAAGGGTAGTGTGAAAAGGGGCTTCACAAAGATTCTACTCTTGTTTTGTAAATAATACTTGGTTTGTTTTTTTTGTAAATTACACACTTTACAACACAGCAGTGTGGGCTTCTTGCATAACAAGTTCCTCAATTATGAAATGGATAAAAAAAATTGTGGGGACACATGAGAGTCATTTCCATTGGGTTGTCATTTCACACACAGACACTACGGGTTTGAGCACACTCAATTGCAAATTGCAACATTTGCCCTTGGGCATCGACCTGAAGCCATCAGTCCCTGTGCTGCCCCTGCCTGTTACTCCTTAAACTGCCCCAAATCGCCCCAGCATTCTATGGTTATATGGATTCATCAAGGAGTAAATACAATGTGATACAACGTACGGTAATACAAAGTAATACAATGCAATGCAATGCAATACAATGCAATACAATGTAATACAATGTAATGCAATGTAATGCAATGTAATACAATGCAATACAATGTAATACAATGTAATACAATGTAATACAATGTAATACAATACAATGTAATACAATGTAATACAATGTAATGCAATGTAATGCAATGTAATGCAATGTAATGCAATGTAATGCAATGTAATACAATGTAACACAATGTAATGCAATGTAATACAATGTAATGCAACGTAAAGCAGTGTAATACAATGTAATGCAATGTAATACAATGTAATACAATGCAATACATGTACAATGTAATACAATGTAATGCAATGTAAAATAGTGTACATGTAATACAATGTAATATAAGTGCTAATGGGTTAATACAAAAAAAGTAAGGTTCTAGCAACTGATGTGCCCTCACTTGGGGTTAGCGCCCTCTATAGTGTCCCACGGCGTCCACAAAAACCTTCAACGCAACCTTTGACATAGGATCTTGGCCAATAATAAACAAATACATGCAACACATCTGGTTCTAAGGTAAACAATAAAACTTTTTTTTTAAATATCTAAATGGTATATATTATTCATTCACTAGGGAACAGCACACAACACATACATGTAATATTTTTTTTTCATATATACATTTTCAAATAGCAAAATATTTTAAACCCCCAAATAACTGTGTCAATGGGATAAAAACAAAAAAGCGACAAGCCAGCCCACACCAACAACAAAACAATTTCTATTAAATTATGACTTTGCACATGCATTAGGCTAGCTGCAAACTAAAGTATACTTTTTTCTTGCATACAATTGAATACTATTTCAAAACAACAAATTATGAGGTTTACAGAGATTTGTATATATACAGCCAAAACAATACTGAAGGAAAAAAAATTAAAACAATTAATAAATGAAATATATATATATTTTTTGACAATTCTATTTTTGTCCCCTTACCTCACAAACAACACTTTTGGGCCAAACTAGAACTCAATTTTAAAACAACTAATCTACAAAAATAATAATAAAAACTCAAGATTTTTTCTTTTTCTTTTTTTCTTTTCCATTTTTTTGTAAGATTTTTCTATCAATACCATATCCCTAAACTCAAGCAACAAAACTAGGGAAAAAACTCCTCTATTAGACTGGTTGAACTGCTAAGGTCAAAGGTTAAAAGTTCACCCATTAAAGGCAAAGGATGCAATATTTTAGTCCTGAGTAGTCTATTTTCTCTTTATCGTCTATCAATCTTAGACAAAGAAAATGAAATGAAATTTTACAGAAAATATGTTTGAGATCCAAATGAAAAGTACGACTTAAGGTTCAATGAAACAAATAATTAGTACCAAAGATGATACTCAACTGAAAATGGAAATAGTTTACTGTTCGCTAGTTTGCTATTGTTGCATAATCTTATGAATTTATTCAATTGATACAAAGTACGGGTTCGTTCAGACTTCACACGAAAACCCAAACAAAGCAAATGTCATGACATTATTCTTTTCGTTGTGACATCACATTAACACCTTTGCTCCACTGTAACTTATACATCAAACATGAATCTGCTTAAAGGCCGACTCATGCTTCATGCGAATGTGAATGCGAAGGGAATGTTACGTCGGGAAAACTTTCGCTGTGATTATCACCGGAGCTAAAACGAGTTCAACTTTTGTGTAATCTCATTGCATGGTTGCTTATATCATCATAAGCTTTCCATTACACATTTACTACATTAATTAGTTAATATCAGGAAAGTACACAGCCAGACACAATAAAAGTGAAGTTTGCCCTTCTGAAAAATAGTTCTCAAAAGGGGCGGGGCCCTGCCCACAGAGTGGGATCTTTAAGAAGCTGGAACATTGAATGGTTTGCTTTCCACTCGTCCTGAGTGATGGTTTTGCTGTCATCATAAGTAACTCACTCCAAATCATAACTCATAAAACACAATCCTGACTCCATTTTTAGCCTAGCCACTTCACAAATTAATACTGTTTTTCAAATACACGAACAACTTATTTTACAAGAAACATCATTACATATTTACAGTCTTATTTACATATCTCTGTACACATGCATATATGGAGTCAAGTTGATTTTTTTTTTTAAAAGCAGAGAAAAATGCAGATTGTCCAAATGTAGAATTTTGGGAGTTCCATTCAATTTTGTGTGGAAATTTGCAACTCTATTTCCATGTCATTATAAATTATGAATATATTTTTCAGAAACTAACTTGCAATCGTGACTTATTCTAGGGAAATCTGCCAACAACGATAACTCTCCATCCATTTTTTAACTGACAAAAAATTATAAAGAATGTATCCAAACAAATCAAGTGACCTTTTTCAAATCAAGTCATCAGTAAAGTGAAATTTACTTGGGTCATCAATTCAACCCACTGAAGGTATTTGGGTACAATTATGTTTTGCTATCCCATTTGAGACGGAAATCAAAGAGGGCGCTAATTAGGTCAAAGGTCATGTAACTGACAACTAGGCTATGATTAACTCAAAGAACAACACCTCATTCATCTTCCTAAAAAAATTGGATAAGAAAAAAAGTACTCTATACTCAACTTGAAGATAAGAAGGAAAAGAAAACATGCTTGAAATTAAGAAACTTTTAGATATGTTTTTAAACATTTAAAGAAAAATTTAAATACAACATAACTATAATCGTTTCTTATAAATCATTTTTTTTTTCCTTTTGTTTTTGTTTTTTTGTTTTTTTTTTTTTTATATATTTTTTATATTTTTTTGCAGTTCAAGTTTTAACTACAAATCCTTCAGCTACATTTGTTGTTTATTTACACTATACAATACCTACGCCATCGCCAAAATCAAATTTATCCTAGCCATGAAAACTGCAACAGAACCCATTTTCCTATCCCCTTTCTTCCTCATGTTCACCATTTAAACATTCATAGGCCCTGTTCACACTCAGAACAACAGAAAACATTAACACAAATTAATGATGTCGCTGCAAGCGTTGGTTTTAAAGTTTACAAGTTGCGACATCAAATTCACTGTTGAAACAAAAGGTTCTCCTGTGCAAGACACAGGCAGGGCATTTCTTCATGTGGAACATCAACATCGTCCAACACAAAAAAAACACTTACAGTGACTTATGATGATTTTTATAGATGAGTAAAGCAAGTGCAAAAACATTATAATGCCCTAACACAATACCACCCTCTTCACCAGCTATAATACGTCTTTTGATGTTCAATTTTTGCCGGCTACAAAGGGAATACAAACTGAACATTGAAAGGTGTATTCATTATTTACTTCAGGGTTGCATCTTCTATTGCAAGTCTGGAGATACAATGAAATGTCATAGTTCAGATAACCCAACAGAGGGAGAAAACTGAAGAAAAAAAAACACTGCTAAGTTCCTCACTAAAAAAAATAACGATGGCAGTAACAACTTTCCTAGTTGCAAATTAATCAATTTGTTTTTCCAATTAAAAAAAGTAATGAATATTAAATCATTGAACATCTTTTGATGTCACAATTGCTGACAACTTAGTCTTTAATAGAACACTGGATTTTTTTCAGGAACAAATTGGTTAAACATGTATATTGTTTACAGATGCAGAAATATTTAGAATTGTTTTCATATCTCTCATCAAAAGAGGCCACACATAACAAAAGCATTGCATTATCAAAGTAAAGACCCTAAAAAGCAGCTGCATTCTCAAAGCCAAAAAGAAAACACTAAATTTTAGATCTATCTTTAACTCAAAGTCACACCAACATTTTCTACAGAGAATACAGAAAAATATATCATGCCTTTTATAGAAACACAACTTCTGGCTCTACAATATGCAAAACCAGTAGCTTATTTGCATGTTGAAATTTTTTTTTGCCACTAACGACTGTCTTCTACTTAATAAGCAGCAGAGAATAAAATACTTTCTATCGTTTTTTTTTTTTTTCTTGTTTTTTTTTTTTTTTGGTTAATCTTTTTTTAAGGAATTAATTTATTCACATCTATTCACATTTAGAAATGAAAAATCTCAAAAAGAGTCCATTGTCATCCATAAACCTCTCCGAAAAGCAAAAAAAGACTTCTGAATCTTCAACACAGCTCCGACGGGTATCACCCCTTTACAAAAAATGAAATACTAAAAAAATATCCCTTCCCTTTTTATCTAGTAACGCATAACTACAATACATTCAACATTTTTCCTAGATAATAGATCAGTTTCTGTTACACACTTCAAGCTACAGAAGCAAAGCAAAGAGAAGAGAATCGGAAAAACTGAACACTTTCAATATACACATATGTACAGACTTGCATATCAGCAAATTAGAATTTTGAAACCATTTAGTCGGCGTCGTTCCTACACACAACTCAAAAACAAAAATAATAAAAAGCGAATATTTCTGTGAGGCGCCTCAATAAAAGACAACGATACTTCTTTAGCTCAGCAGACGTACATACAGAAATGCGATCCAAAATGTGCATCAACTGAAAGCCAAATGTTACTGCAGCGAGCTTTGAATTTTAAAAACATCAACTGCAACCAGGCACACCAACTTTGTACATAAAATGCATATCTGGGCAGATCACAAGCACCATGTACACCACCAATGTTGCAAGCAAGTAACGTTGAAACTTCCAGTTGTGTGTTTTTTGGATTCAGTCTGTACCAACATTTTTACAAAATGTATCCAGAAATTAAAAAAAAACTGCTGTGACTTTCTGTGACATTCAAGTAATGTAGAACTACACCGTAAACGTTAATTACAGCAAATTTTCTTGGATTAAGAAAAAAAAGCCAAAAAGCCAAGTCTGGCCTTGTCAACACACTGCTCTTCAATTTGGTCCAAAACGCGAAAATATCTTAGTGACCCAACATTCCGAAACACTTGGCAAAGAACCAACAATTTATACACATCAGGCAGGCAGTGAACACACAACTGTTCAAGAAACAGAGGTTCCCTTCTGTCTGGCACCCCGTGTCCACAATTGACATTCTACACACTTTCCATACTCTGGTGCCAGATTGTCCAGCCTCAGCATTGTGTGCGAGTCCACCACAGGAACATTTACACAGGCCAGGTAAATAGTTTTAAAAATCGGCGTAAAAATGCTGTCCACAAAAAGCCTCATGATTGTCCATAGTTTATCAAATATCCCAATTTCAAGACGATGCCGAAACACTCCTTTTTTTTCTCTCTTTTATATCCGAAATATACAAATCTGTGCAGTTTAAAAAGACCCTTGTGACTATGTAACTATTGAGAGACAAACATGAATGGGTTCAAACCTAAAGATCTGAATAATATCAGCTAGTCTGTTGCCATAGATTTCTCCCAGGCCATTTCTCAAAATTGCGACTTCACTTCCAGCTCTGGCTTCAAACTTTATAAATTTAGGACCTTGATTAATAGAGACATGGGCTCATTTTCTATTACGAAAACATTAAAGCCACCAGTTTGTTCTATACAAAGAGTTACAGGCTTAGAGCCAGAGACAACGTCGTTGTTTGAGAAATGGCAACAGGGCAATTCCAGCATCATTACAGGAAGTGTAATGTCCGTGACAGAGCCAATTAAGCATATCTAACTAACGATTCAGAGAAATGATCCACAACTCCTAGTCTGTAATCTCCTTGGCCATCACTAGATGATGGATGTATATGATTCGAAAAAAAAACATGTTCAGGTTTATTCACTGAGCTCTTAAATGCCCGGTCACGAACTTGACATAACACTGGAATTGCCCAATATACTCCTTTTCAACTTTGCAGAATCAGCTGCAGCATTTTTTTTTAATAATGTATCCAATAATAATTTGTTGATATCAAACAGAAGCAACTCCTTTATTATCAGTCAATTTAACTGAGACACTGTGTTACATTTGTACAGCTTGCATCCACTTATATCTGAATCCCTGAATGAATCTCACAACAGCATCCCCAGTCAGTCAATCCAAAACACTAGTTACTGAATTTCTGTTTTCCTTTCATTGGACCAACTATTCAGACCACAACTCAACCTGATTATGCCTGAAGTAACTGCAAATACTAGATGACAAGGAGTATCTGAAGGGAGATTTATGGAACAGCCCAGCCACGATATTTCACAAGATCTACGATCCAGAACCCACAGTCACTTTTAAAAAATTGTTGCTCCCAGTTTGGCAATGCCACTCGGAGAAAATTACATGTTTATGTTTTAAGCACACCAATGCTATTTTCGCTTTATTTCATTCACTGTATGAAAGAAGGCTTCAACAACAGTCTACCTACATGTATGGACTGGGCCTACGCTGCTGGTACTAGATTGTAAGACTTAAAGGTTTGGCGACAAATTGAGGTATGTGAAACGTTGTTAACTCAGTTTATTTATCCCAAAATTTACAAATTCTATTAAGAGTTATCCGTTGAGTGTAACAAGGTAAGTATCGCTCTCCTTAAGTTTTGCCAATATTTCTCAAGTTTCAATTTTGAAAGTGTCATTGAAATACGATTTTTTTTTGCATAAATCATGGGAGTGATTGAATTGTTATGTTTGTCATATCTTAAATTGAAGCAAATACAGGTGAATAGATGTACCCAACTTGAATTGTACATAATGACCTGCTTTTTAATTAAAGTAGGAGTAGAACCCGTCCTTGTTCTGCCGGTTGCCCAGGTCTTTGATGAGCATCAGTGGGTCTGGAGAAGCCGTCTTCCCCCGGTCCTCCAGAGGAAAACCAGTCTTGCTGAGCTTGGGCTTGGGAGGGGCACGAAGGGCGCTGGCATAGGACATGGAGGATGGCAACAAGGAAATGTCGTCCTTGGAGTTGAGATTGGCCCCTGTGCCGATGGGGCTGAAGCGGCTGCCTGGGTTGGGGTTGAGGGAGACGCAGTCGTCTTGCTGCGGGGGAGGTAAGGCGGAGACAAGCTGCTGGGACTCGGCCTGCGAGTAATCAGCGGCTTGATTCAGGTAACTACGGGGGTTATTATTCCTAACTGAATTGGATCTTACCCACAATTCCGGCTCCTCCTTGTCCAGGTCCTCCATGAAGCTGGAGAAGCCATGCTGGTCCTCTTGGGAGCTCTGCCGGTAGAAGTCTGACTGCGACCCCAGCCGGGGGAAGTTCGAGTCAGCCGCAGAGAAGAAACCCGCATTCTGGTGACCTGAGGAGTGCCTGGAGCGGTCTGTGCTGTTGTTGGGCATGTGGTTGGGGTTTGGACTCAGGGACGGCTGGTGTTGAGGGGGTGCACCCGTTGAGGGACCATGGCTGTTCTGCTGAGTGTATATCGACCGGGGCATGTGGACACCCCTCGTCCGCAGCTCAATTGGTTGACCCGTCACGCTCTGCTGCTCTTGACGTTTGCTGACACTGTACGGCATGTCATTGTGAGTCTCGGAAAATGCTTGCTGACTCCTACTGTTGACTCCGTACGGGGATTGTCCCATCTGGTGGTTGACAGTGCCTCTTGAAAACATGTCGTCTGGTTCCTGAGGGCTGGACTTGATTCTTCTCTTTCCGTGCTGCAGCATGTTCATGATCTCCTGGCCAGCTGCATTCCCTTTGAAAACACCGTTGGAGTCCTTCCACGGCTCACTTGCACTGCCGTGGGGATTGTTGTTCTCGAAGAGCTGCTGTTGCTGCTGTGCGGGTGGTCTTACAGGTGTCTGCTGTTGTGCACTAGCGGCGCCTGCAGATTGGGGATTAAAGACACCAGAGCGCTGTTGTTGCTGCTGCTGCAGTTGCTGTTGCTGCATCTGCTGAAGCCTCTGTTGATGCAGCATTTGGGGGCTCAGGACTTGGTGGAAAGGTTGACCCTGTTGTCGTGCTGCATGTGGTATCCTGTGTAGTGCCTCAGCTGCTACTGTGAGCGGCGGCGGTTGCCCCGGTTGTTCTGCTGCAGTCTGGTGGTGCATGTTGTGCTGTTGCTGTTTGGGAGAATGCTTCAAGAGGAAATTGCTTGCATAATCAGGTCCCATGGTCCTCAGGTAGTAATTGTACTCCTCGTGGATTCTCAGTTCTTCCAATTTGGCTACGACTTCCTGCCGGTCACTTGCTGAGTTGGTCTTGGTGGTGCTAGACTCTGAGCTGCTGGTCTTTCTTTCTCTGTCCCTTGACGGCGAGCCGGATTGCCAGTGGGCATTTGCACCGCCAGCTTCCTTAGGCGAGTTTGGGTGGGAGGACTTGTCGGACTGCTGCTTAGGGGAGAGCTGCGGGGAGGAGACATTAGCGAGGTGTGTTGGGGAGTGGCGCATCATGTGTGGGAAGCCATACGGCGGCATCATCAGGGGCAGACCCGTGGCAGGGTCCACATAGGCACCCTGGGTGTAGAACTGCGGGCCTGCCGGCAACATCCTCAGCGGGTGCATGGGCATGACGTAAGGCATGGGCATCACATACAGCCGCTGACCGGTCACGGGGTCAAAGGTCGGGATGGGGCTGCCTGGACGCACCATCCCGGCATGGCCATAGGGCATCCCGGCCATGGCTCGAAGTGACGCATTCATGCTCACCGCTTGGGCAGCACTCAGTGACGTAGGGGTCTGACCCCCAGGCGACAGCATCCCCCGGGGCAACCCGTGGGCCATCATTCCCACTCCGTGGAGGCCAGCTCCTTGGATCATGGGGGCACCTGTGACCTGATTGCGCAGGGCCTGGGGGATGAACTCCTTGGCCAGAGGGTTCAGGATGTACGTCTTCTTCATCTCGACGCCCGACAGCAGGGCCCTGATCTCGTCATAGGTGATGCCGAACAGACTCTTGTTCTCATGGGCGACTTTGATGAAATTCTCCCAAAGAATTCTAAACAGAGAGTAAAAAAAAAAGGAAAGTTTGATAGAGTCCTTGATCAGAAGTGCTGCCAGGGGTGAGATTGGGAGAAAAATGAAAACCCCAAAATATAATCGGCAGAGAGTTTGAGGGTCGCCGAGGGCCCAAATGCAACCTTGGCCTCATGGCACCCCTTACAATACTCATTTCTATACAAACTTTTATAGGAAAAACAAAAGGAATTCAACATTTCAAAGGGATTCTTTAAAAATCCTGAAATCAGCAAAAATCCTGACAAATCTCACCCCAGACTGTTTTATTTGGCAAACTTCATTCATCTTTTTTAAGATTTTTCTCAAATCAGTGAGAGAGATAAACCCAATTTGCCTTTTCAACAACATTTTAGCTCAAACATTACAAGTAAGCTAAGGTTTCTTTGTGTTTTTTTTTATTTTTTTTTTAAGAGCTCAGTTTCATATCCTTGAAGAGATCCAGTCTGATGCTAGAGCCTGTTTAATACTGTGAATAAATATATTGCACTATATTCATTTTGTACTAGCAGGGTTCGACTTCAGCAGTAGCCCGCTAGCCCAATGCTAGCCAAAACAGCGGCGGGTTAGTCAAACTATTGCTTAAGTAGTCCGGCTGTCGAGTCAAAATTTATTGGGCTACAGCAAAGATGAACTGACAGGAAGAAATACATCATAAATTCAGAAAGCAAACCTGTATCAATTTGTGTCTAATTTGATTAGCTGTTTAGGGTTAAGTTATTAGATCTGTTTATTAAAAACACTGACAAGATTGCCTCAGGATACGCGTTCACATGTATGCCCATTGTTGTTTATGAGACACTCATAAAAACATGCGGGCTAGTGAAGATGTACAAGGATTAGTTAAGAGTCTGTTTCTGTAGCCTGGCTGGCTAGTGAAAAAACAGACATCCAGTGCATACTGCTTTTTCTACATGTAACCATGTGCTTCTCAATCACCGTACTCCCACAAAGCCCCGAACAACAGGGAAAACAATGCACCAGCTACTGCACAAACGACCCGCTCCTGGGACAATTATTCTGAACAATAACTGGCACAATACTTCCACAGCTACTAGGAGCCTCCATGAGTTTACAGTGATTCTGTGACTGGATTGGTCCTCCATCCATACCTGCACTTCCCTATCGAGCACAGGGACACCGGATCCCCCACGACAGCTACCAGCGACTGAGCCCTGGTGATGGCAGTATTGAGCAGCTTGTCGTTGGACAGGAAGCCGTAGTCTGCTTCCTCTTCCCCCACCTCCGGTCCCGCTGAGTGCCCCGCCTCCCCCCGGGAGCCCTTCTTGGACTTCGGGGATCGGTTCTTGGTGGCGGTTGTGGAGGCGGCTGTGGCGGCCTTGCAGGTGTTGTGGGTGCGGACCGTGCTGATGAACAGGACTCGGAACTGCTTGCCTGTTTGGGGTGAAAACACGGGATAAACCCAACAGGTTCAAAAAACAACAAAGCAATGATGAAGCTTTTTATTCAAAATAGAAATACTGAACACTTTGGCCTCCCAATGATAAGATTTCAAATCTGTGGAGCTGAAGTCTTCGAAGTCTGAGGCCAAAAATCTCCTGGGGTTGTAAGTGGAAACGAAGCTGAGATTTGGAACCCGAACTAGGTTATTAAAATGATTACTCAGACACTTTTGGATGGACTTTTGATGGATCCAATCCAACTTTTTGGTTGTTGCCTACCTTGTACATTCATGACTCTCTCCACGGACACGTTGTGCAGTCGACGCTTGCGCAGCTCTGACCTGATACGGAAGACCTGATCGGCGTAGTGGCTGACCACACCGATGCTGGTCTCATCCAAGTTGCCCCACTCCTCCACGGGCCACGCCTTCTGCAGCTCCGCTACTCTCTCTGTGATCTCAAACACCTGGCAGAAAAGGGGGTTGAGGTTCTGATCGAATAAAATGCTTTCTATCTGGAATATTATGTGGGGCTGTACGAGCAGCATTAGTAAATAGAGAAGTAAGTTGCAAGTTTTCGCAAAAATCGAGTATGCCAAGGACCACCACTACATCAAGGATACGCGCATGAACATCACAAATTATGCATTGGCAACACATGTACAACTGCTGGCTTGCCATACAAAATGCCAAACGAGTGATTTTGGCGTTTCTCAACGCCCAAAATTTTAACGACTGATAAAAACTGCAAAACGTTCAAGACTGATAATAAAGTTTCACCAGAGGTACAATACACTACTGTCACAATCAATTGGCTTGAGGACTTGATCTCATTCAACTGAAGTATTGTTCAATGTTTTTAAAAATTCTTATATGTACACGGATTCTACGAAATGCCTGTTCAAGTCCTTTTCTGCAAACATGAATGGGAATGCCATTCTTCCAGTACCCAATTATTATCTGACAATCCTTGCACATGAGTTGTTTGTGACTGATTAGGCCCCCCCCCCCTAAACAAATAGTTCTGCTTCTGGTTACCCTACCTACCCTATTTTGACAGCCCCTACCCTAATTTTTGTTTGGGGAAATATGAGCAAAAAAACCCAGAAAACCATCAATTACTACCTTTTATCCTTGACTACACGCAGACACTTCCATATGATCATACACACAAAAAATGCCCCCCCCCCCAAAAAAAAAGCCCTACCTGCCTACCCTATTTTCAAATGCCATGTAATCGGAAGCAGAACTATTTTTGGGGGCCTTATTGGCTGAGCAAACAAACCCAATCATCAATATTTGTCTGCTAAAGAGTTCCACAACACAGATCCAGCAATGGCAAATGCCATGTCATTCAATTTATTACATGATCGGGGGACAAGATTCATAGTATCATGTTGACATAGTCCAAGTGAGAGAGTAGCTCCTTGATTCAGCAACATGCAGTAACAGGAAGTGCATGTTTTGGAAGGGACCGCTGGGTTAAGCAAGATGGGAAACAACTGATCCTCACCTCAGCATTGTTGTAGAAGGAGGTGCTGTTCTTCTCCTGCACGTCCTCCCCCCTCGTGGTGAAGAACGTCAGCGGGTACCAGTCCCCGTGAGCCGCCTGCTTGCCGCTGGCCAGCAGCTTGCTGTCGTAGAACAGTCGGGAGGTGTAGCGGACGATGGCCTCATGGGAGCGGTAGTTCTCGCACAGCAGGATCTTGCAGGGGTGCTGGGCCGGGTAGAGGTCGTACAGGCGCTCTAAGAGGGAGATGTGCAGGTTGCGGTCCCGGGCGAAGTCAGAGTGGACCTCAGGGCTGATCTGAGGAGGGAGCGAGGAGAATAAGTGTTGGATTGGTTTTTGGTGAACCAATATGTTTTCATTGTAAGGTGAATTGGAGAAGGCTTGAAGGCTTTTTGGATTCAAAAGTAAAATTTGGAAATCAAAGATCCACCAGTGTTCTACTACGTTGTAAGCTTTTTCTCCTGGTTTTTCTACTCAGCACAGGGCACAGTATTTAATCATTTTGTTTATATGCTGAAACGAGAAATTGGCCTACTTCAAAATCACTTGTTTTCTACAAAAGGACTTATAAAGAATTTATTCACAAAGAAAAGTGACTTATTTCACAAAACATTCTTTCTTAATGAGCTTTTTCTTATAAAAAGCACTTGCTTCTATAGACAAATCCGAGCATGCTAACAATTCCATTACAAAGGCCCCCTTCAATGGTGAAAGCATTGTGCTAGCTATTGTTCAGATATTCCGTCATGGGGCAGTTGCTTTGTACAATAGCGTGCACAATGGTTTCTCCATTGAAGGGGGCATCATAAGTGTACAATGACTACTTGCCTGGATTTGTCTATAGCACATATCAATGGATCATATTGCTTAGTTAATAATTGCCATAAAATCTTTCGGTGCCCACATAGGATTCTGCAGAAAAAAAATAGTATGGGGGAAATGTTTTCAAACACTACAAATTGGAGATACAACTCACTTGCATGTAGTCACCGGCGAGCACGATGCGAGTGTTGAGATTGGCTAACGCCAGCGGCATGATGGTCTCACATTCCATGGCCTGGGCAGCTTCATCAATCAGGATGTGAGTGAAGAAGCCTACGGAGACAGAAAAAGGGAATAGACATGTAGAATGATTTTAGAAATAGTGACAATTTTTTCACACACTTCTTACGAATGTAGATTAGACAAAATCTAAAAAAAAAAGTCAGATAGTCTTCTTTTGAAAGTTACATTCCCTGTGCTATTTTGCAGTTTCATCCCGAAAATAATTCCATCCTTGCGGGGTAGGCTGGTTCCCAACCCAAAATCAGTATCAATAATGTATGGACCGGGAACCAGTCTGCTCGCAAAGTGGATCTGCTTGTACCCAAAATAACATTTTTTTTTCAGAGGGTTGCAGATGTCCTTAAAAAAAGAGGGGAAAAAAGGAGTTTGTTCAAGCGCAAGGGGAACGCAACTTTAAATTCACCTTGTCCCAGGTCGAGATGACTGAGAAACCTTGATGTGCTGAGTGTAGCCACCACCACCCGCGCCTTGATCACCTCCTCCTTGCTGGGCATGGCAAACTTGTCCTGTGCCTCCGACATGACGCAGTAGAGACGGACTAGAGGGTGCACCGTCGGCACCCACCGGTCCTTGAAGTAGATACGCAGGGGGCGGGCCGCTGTGAAGCCCGCCTCCACGTAGGCATGGAGGTAGTCTTTGATGTAAAGGTCTGCCGCACTGTTACAAAATGGAGACAAGTTCAATTAGAATTCTCAGGTTATGTTACAAGTCAAATCTCAAGAAACAGAGGAGACAGGAATGCCTTTGTCACATTTCATTTGGAGAGCTTGAGATTTGTCTTCAGACTGAAACACTTGTAGTTGACTTGTGATTGACTTGGGAGGACTTGTTACTGATACTTGTTACTGACTTGGTTATAACTCTGTCTGATATTGCATGGCATTTAATTAAAAACCCTTTAACTGGTGAAATTAAGACAGGTTTCAATTTGTGAAAACCAAAATGTACGGATTGCGGGCATGAAGAAATTGGGTGTCAGTTCGTGAAAAACAAATTTAAGTGGTTCTGTAAAGTACGCGCAAGTGCCTGGCACTCAACGCACCACAGAGTGTCAGTTTGTGGTGTCGGTGACGATTTGTAGGTGTACACTTTTTTTTTTTTTTTACAATACTATTATTGCTCATTTGAAGGAGAAGATAGGCAACAACTGTGAACATGCAAGAGTTGCAATCAATATGGTATTTCAAAGGGATACACTTTAACAAAATTAAGAACAACTCGTCAGCTGAGGTGATTTTCAGAACTACCAAGAGTTGCATACGGCCTTGAAGCAAAAGAAATTATGTGAAACTTTGATATCAATGTAAGACACTACCATCTTACCTTTAAGTAACAGCAGCCGGGGACCCTGATTTAGAGTACTTTACCTGGTTCATACTTCACACAAAAGCGAAAGTGAAGTGAAATTTGTGGCGTCAACAATACGCTCGAAGCCCTTTCACCATAGTTGATGACATGAATTTTGCTTCGCACTTGCTTTCGCGTGAAGTATGAACCGAGATTTACTCTCCTCTTGAGGCAAAATCTCACCCTCCATCATACACTGACACCCAAATGTTAATAAACAACGTACATGGCCCAACAAAATGTATGTGCTCTTTACTTGGTCATTGTCCCTGGGCTGCAAAGCAACCTGTGGCCAAATATGCTGTACAGCAAGTTCCTCCAGGACCACACCAACATCAGCTGAATAGATCTAACACGCAAAGCCTGAACAAGACTAAACCGCCTTCCAACTGGCGTGGGGTGCCTTAGAGCCAACTTGGCCAGGTGGGGCCTCGCGGGCAGGGCCACCTGCAGACCACATTCTATCCCACTGCCCCATCTACCAATCTTCGAATGGAGCAGATGGTCCAACTAACTTGGGCCACGAGACCCAACTATGCTTGACCAAGCTGATATCTGAACTGTCTACCTTACAACTGAAGGAAGAAGAAGCAAAGTTCCTTTCAGCCGCAATTTACTGTACGTTTTCTCATTTTCTCACCTGTTGGAGTGCGTGCAGATAAGTATTCTGGTGTTAGGCTGCTGCAGGATCAGCTTGGTAGCATGGGCCAGCGTAAACGTCTTCCCCGTCCCGTATGGACCGACCAGAAAGATGGGCGGCAGACGGTTGTTGAGAGGTGTCGTCATGGCAATGATGGCCTCTCGTTGCTTGGCGTTTAGACGCGGATCCATGTTTTGGTCCCATTGCCTGCAGGCATTTGAACAATGTTATAACGGTGATGACTTTGGTTGGTTCCTGAACTTATCTTGAGATTTTCAGACTATGATTTTAAATTGCGATATTTCAATCACAAGGAAAATTTAGTGCACAATTTCTACCCAAATTGAGACCAATGAGCAATACAATCTGAAAAGCTACCAGACAGTCCACTGTCCCCAATTGACCAGTTCACGCCGGGATAATTTTGACATTGACCGGACCCAGGCGCGGTTTGTTTTTACGACCCTCGATGGGTTCAGGCCATCATCTGCGGGTAGATCACCCTGATTTCCGGCCTTGCTCGCTGTGAGCGAGTCGCTGACAGATATTTCCGGCCTCGCTCGTTCCGTGTTTATCCGTTCCGAATACCGCAAAACCTTTGCGTGTATCACGTCATCCGACGGGAACTGGTTAATCAGGACATGTCTCCAGCCCAACAAAACTCTAGAAAATAACACAGGTTTAACTGGCATAACAATGAGGTCTAATAATTTTTCCGCACAAGTTTACTAGTAAGCCCACAGTGTTTTACAAAGACCTTACTTGCTTGGCGTCCATGGAATGCTGCATGAGTTCTTGACGTTTGGAAACAGCATGCTCATATCTGGCTGTTTATCCACGGCATAGTGCATCTCACATAGGGGTAATCTGTCGAGGAAAATACACACAAAAATTACACAGTATAAAAAAAAAATCTACTAAACATTACTGTGCAGAAAGCAAATAACGCATTAGTTTCACTTGACCTTTCAAGTGACTGGGCTTGACATGCTCGATTATATTCCCATTCAAATTTACTGCCACATTCAACATTTAACAATTGCAAAGACGTCAAAATGACCTATTGAAAGCAGAAAAACTAATTGAAGTCGCATTTCAAGAAATTACTATTACACACTGCCTTAAAAGGTTGATGCATTAAACATGCATTCCTTGTGCTATTCCAACTTTTGACCCGAAAATTTTATTAAAATTTTTTTCACTTGCTTTTTTCCTAGCAATACATTTATTCACTTTTGAATGTGACATTGAACGAACCAAATCCTCTTACGTTTAGTTATTCAATCATTTCTTTACAAAATTCAAATAATTTAGGGCCCGATAATAACTTGGCTCTCGCAGGGTGGCTTCACTGTGCACAAAATGAAAGTCACTTTTCAGAGGGGTGCAGATGCCTCAAATTGGAGAAAAAAAATAGGTTTTTTTTATGAAACCAAACATACAAATTGAAAATTTGTTAGGAGAAAAAAAATAGTTTCTTTTTCAAAAGCACATATCTTTAAGCAGCAAGCAAAAGTCCCTCACATGATGTCACTTAATTTCTACTTTTTATTCTGACACCACTTGCACCGCAACAAAATGGCATTTTAAATTTTGGTAACCGACTGTATTTTTCATTTCTGTAATAACTGTCACAGAAGCTGTGTTAAACCCAACTTTACAACCCACGGAACTCAAGTTAACTGTAACTAGCAGGGATGTGACTGGTCTGTGACAAAAAAACCTGAAAATTTTATGCATGAAGTGCAAACTCCGGCGAGCGCGAAGCGCGAAGCCATTACGGCGTGGGGTCCGGGGCCCGCTTAAGGGCCCCGGAAAATTTTTGATTTTAGATGCTCTGTGGTGCAATCTGAGGTAATTACTGGGCACTTTCCTCTGAAATTCTGAAGCAGAATTTGTTTTCATTTTATGAAGAATTTTCCTTTATTTGTTTAAATGTACTCTTGTTCTAATAAAGTTTTTTCTGTACTCAAAGTTGAGAACCATACTGTTCTCCCCAGAATTTTTTCAACCCTGTAGGGGAATTTTTGTTGTGATACAACAACCTGCGAAGCCACGGCGTGGGTTCGGGGCCCGCTTAAGGGCCCCGAAAAAATGTTGAACTTTAGAAGCTTTCTGGTGCATTTTAGAGCATTTCAGAGGAGATCTTGTAATATTTTTGTAAAAAAAAAATCGGAATTGTAAACTTAAATCACTTCTGCTTCCGATAACATGCCTTTCAAAATAGCGTCGGTAGTATTGTTGGAAAAAAATATTTCACCATTTCTATATTTGTAGTAAAGCAAGGAATCGTTTATATTTCATGTATTTTGTGCCTGGATTATTCTCATTTGCGCCACAAAAATTATCAAGACTAGCCATCAAAAGTGATTAATACTTGCCTCACCTAACTAAAAATCTATATATTTGAGGTGGGTCATTCCACAATTATGCTTAACGTACATGTACATCACGGCCGCTAGCGCCGCAAACATTCAGTCTGGCCGGCCGAACATCGCGCCGTACACACGGCCGGCCCGGCGCAGTATAGTGTGCATTGCTGCACTGTGTACGGCCGGCAACCCGTCCCAAGTGGCCGAAAATTCTGCAGGACTGCAGAAACACGTTACGATGTTTCTCCACAGGTTCGAGTTTTGTAATCTCGTCATTTCAATGGAAAATACATACACAGAAAATGAAGATCAAGTTCTGTGAATTAATTTGCAGAAATCCTCTTTTTCCATCGATGGTTGTTTGGTATTTTTACTATTTTTACGCTCCAACTTCGGCCGATTATACGCACGGAAAACGAACCTGTGAGTACTTGCAGTAGTCACTGGTTCCGGTCCTTCATCATAGCATTGATTCTGTTAGCACGCGAAGGGTACCAGTGTACCATGCTGCACTCGTCTGCACACCTGACAAGCGCAACACGTGCATCTCGAGTACCGACACAGGAACTAGACCTACATAACCACAACCTCGGCCCCGAGCGAAAAATCATAATCGCACTAATGGCAACGCATGGTCTTCAACTTCGTTCTCACATTGGGTGTCCAATATGTGCCTGCGGCATACATATCGATCAACGAAGTTTATGTCCGTAAGTAAATTTCGGATATTTCGGCAAGCAAAACTCATTATGAATAATTAATTAGCACATTCTACCCCCCTATTTTTTCAACGGATTCACACGATTCACGTTGGTGGACTTTTGTGGCCCAAAAAAACGGATTTCCGGCAAAAACCGGAGAAATCACATCCCTGAACTAGAAAAAGGATGTCTTCAAATTTTCAACCCGTTTACCTGTTGAGTTGGAACTGCAGCTCCACCTTGAACTCGGTGCTCGTCTTCAGTTTGAGAGCGTCCACGCAGGTCTTGGGCAGCGTCAGGTAGATCTCTCCTTTGCCCTTCTCCGTGATGGTGCACTCGTAGACCATCTCGAGGGTGTTGGTCGGGGGAGCAGAGGGGTCCGCGGTAGGGGACGTGGGGGCCTTGTGGTCCCCCTGCTGGTTCTTCTTGGCCCCCTGTTCCTTGTCCCTGGACCCACTATGCTGGGGTGCCAGCAGCACCGTGTTGCAGCTGTTTAGGATGAGCTTGCCACCCTTGGTGTCCTCCGACAGTTCGTCGTTGAGGCGAAGGAGGGCAAAGAGCTGGCCGTCCACGGAGTAGCGGGCGCCCACATTGCGGGTAGGGACCAGGTGGAAACTGGAGCTGAGCTGAAGGGTGGTGCGGATGTTGAATCTGGAAAACGACAAGTTAGTAAGAGTAAGGAGTTTATGCAAAACGAACAGCTTACCGTAAAAACTTCACAAGAATTTTTGTGTGGGAAACCTACAACCTGCTTATAAATCCTTATACTAAACCTGAGCTTAATTTCATGCTGCTGCTAAACGGGGAAAAAGTTCTTAGCAAATTCAGATTCTAGGCAAATGCGTATGCTTAGCATATTTCTGCACTTTGCAGCTGCATGAAACTGAGCCTTTGTTTGGACAAAAAGTTCTATGAATAGATTTGCTTCATTGCAATCTTTTGAGTAAAAAAAAATCACAATCAGTCGTAGGCAATATGCAAGCAATAACTTAACACATTTTTTTTCACCCCCCAAAAATGCCGGTGTTCAACAGCTTCGTGAAATTGGCACCTACGCTCAAAAGAAAAATTCAACTTGGAAAATTGAATATTGGTAGAAATTGCTTAAAAGAATTAAATACAGCAATGGAATGAACTATATTGGACTCACTTGCTGAGATCTTTGAAGCGTGCGATCTCCTCTATGTACAGCAGGTCGTGCATCTTGGCCCGGTAGTTGTTCTTGGTCAGGGTCTTGTTCAGCACCGAGTTCTGGAACAGCTCCTCGGCAGAGTGGGGCGGGACGTAGAAGCTCAGCAACCCTTTGTCCTCCTCCATGGCTACATGGACCTTGGGCAGGAACTCCTGGATGGTCTTGTTGGAGGCGTCCCATCTCTCGCTGACGCAGCGGAGCGTTAACCGAGCCTCCTCCAGTTCCTTCTGGCTGGCCGGGGAGACGGCGTCCACCGAGACCCGGCGCATCAGGGCCGGCTCGCTGCCGAAGTCGAAGACCACGGACTGGCGGAAGGTGCCGAAAATCTGGGAGGTGAACTGGAGCTTGATGCGGTACAGGCGCTCCTTGGATTTGCCTGCCAATGGAATATATGCGGCATAAGATGTAAGAAGACAAACCTTTGATGCAAAATGTCAATGATTGGGAAGTGTTAAAGGGAATATACATCATTTGCTTTTGCTGTAATTTTCAGAAATGGATGGAATGGGGGGTTGGAAATATATAGCAAATACAAAGTTACACTGACTTTTTTGAGGTTTTGGGTTTGAAAATGCTATAAAAACCAAGAAAAACAATCAATTTCCTGTAGTCTGGTTCCCTGACTCCATATAAGAAGAAACAGAGCAGTTTACATAAAATGGGGAATTGTAAGGTCAGGGAACCAGTCTAGCTGGCTTGTACCCGTTCATAGGTGTGTAATCGATTGCAAACAAGTGCGATGGTCAATTGGGGCCAGTATTTGAAAAAAATATAAGGTCGGCCGACCAGCGTTGGAAATTGATACAAAAATACCACTTTTCTTTAAAATGACATTATACCAGGTGCCATGATTTTACAGGATGCTTTACACTGTCATTTACTAACAGTCCAGCAAGGTATTTCAAAATGATTTAGTAGTCTCATTTTTTTATGTTTGCAAATGTTGTAGTTTCCCTTTAACTTACAACCTATGCTCCACTATGTACACATAAGCAGCTTTGTAAGCAATGCAAATAAGTCTTTCAGGTTATTCTTTTTTTCAGCTTTTTCAAAAAAATAAAAAGAATACAAAGTTTGCAAAAACATTTTGAAGCTGTAAAGTGAAGTGTGAAGCACTATGAATCCAGAAGAATCCAAGTTGTAAAGGAGTGAAGCATGAAGCCTGCTGAAACCAACATAACCCAACAGTTGCAAAGAGTGAAGCCTTACAAATCTAACAAAATTAATGACCAGAAGAGATCGTCTGTAAGAATTAACAAAACTTCTTTAAACTGTTTGGATAATGTTGGACTCCCCAGAGTCCAACATTTACTCCTTCGCTTTTTTTGCTAACAATCCTAAAAAATCCACTTCAGGGCAGGACACCAATGGCACATGACTAAAACTTTAATGAGCATCAAGAAACAGTGGTTGGGTTCTACATTCCTCAATCCTACAAAATCATCAAAAACCTTAAAATGGATACTTAAGGATCTGGGAAGGTAATGGTTTTAGTTTCGTCAGTGCAGCTGCATATCTTTACAATTTGTTTAAAAACCCAGTGAAACGGTTTCTTTGTTGACTTACCCAGCAGGTGGTTGTTGCTGGTCGGGTTGGTCCATTCTTGGCAGTTCTCCGTCAGCTCTTGGGACAGTTGCCGCTTGGCGTCGCCGACGGACACGCTGGCGAGGTAGAAATGGGGACGGTGGATGTCGTACAGGAGGGCCACTCGGTGAAGATGCTTGGAGGGCTGGAAACGTCACAGAAATAAATTGGGGACTAATTAGAAACCAAAACTAGTTGTGGGGAAAATGCCAAATTCATTCTACCTTTGTGTCAAGGTGTTGTCATTTTCCCAAAGAGGGCAATACCCTGTCCTGACATAAAATACCACATAATCAGTGCATTCCAAAAGGCTGTGAAAGGCTGTGAAGTTGGAGTTATTAGGTTTGGGCTCAACACATGACATCTTTCCTAACTAAGATTAACAACCCAAGCACCAAGTTTGCTGAGATTGGCTGACACCTCAAACCATTACAGAATCAACTACCAACTATTAATTACTGAGGTTAACATAAAATAATTTAAAAAAAACAGACTGCAATATTTATGAACACCAACCTTTGTATGCAGGGTGAATATCCATGAGTGGACAGAAGACTTGGAAGTGACGGATACGTTGAGGTCCGAGTTGACCGTCACTTTCACGTCTTCTATTGCCTCCGATACCTGTTAAACCAAAAAAAGGCAGATTTACAAACGGCTGCAATGCTTGGTTTCACCCATAACATAAAACCCATTATGTTGCAGTCCTGAATACAATTGATGCTGAACACAACAGACTTTTGAGCTGTGACAAAAATTCTTTCCCAGTTTGAATATGCAGTTTGAATAGTTAATAATTATGACTGTAATGTATATTTAGTATTTTGTATTTGTGTAAATTCATATCGTTATTATTTTTTTTTCAAGACTGTCTAATTATTTAACAAATTCTGTGTACCATTTTTAATAAATGTACAGTGGGAAATCAACTTTCATGTAATTTTCTATCCTGACAATAAAATAAATGAATCAACGAGTATGACAGCAATAGTAACTGTGTTTCAGGGGTGGGAATGGCCAACTGACATGTGACAATACCCTGGTTAGACCAGAGTGGGAGTGGTGGGGACAAACGACAAATTTATTTACACTAAGCGCAAATAAACCAATAGGTCTCTCTCACTGACGGCCACCTCTGTAGGAGAACTGCAACTGCATATTTTACGCATCAAGCAAGCATTGCACAGCGTTGAAGATGTTCCAAACACTCGCGCTTGTTGCTCAAAATGTGTTTGAAATACAACACAGCTAATGCGCATTATGCAAGTTGACGCTCCAAATGCTGATGCACGTAGCTGGTCTGTAGGAAATGCATCATTTGAGAGAGACCTAAAAGATTGACCATTCTTAAAGTCATCAGCACTGCACATTCTTTCCGTCGTACTCACAACACTGAGAGGCATGGGGGAGGTCATCCATTTCTCCAGCAGCTGTTCAGCATAGCTGATACCGTGCAGCTGCTTCTCCCTGGCTCTCTTCAGCTTCATCTCTCTGTACCTGTATCTCTCCCGCCACTCCCCGAGCTCATCCTCCGAGTGGGCTGCCGTGCACTGCTCACCGAAACGGCACTTGCTGCGACTGGACATGAAACAAAATATAGATTGATAGTGTGTCAGAGTATCTCAATACTTGCAAAGCCTGGGAAAAACGGGAGCTGATGTCATAGCTCACCACAAGAGAGAATGGTACATGTATTTCATAGATTACAACGAATATGGACAAAGAGATTGGCTTTTTGCTCACTTTCTAGAGCTTCAATGAGGGAACACATTGTGCGTGCATACTGGTTTTTGCGTGTATTGCGCGAAGTGCGTACAATAAATTTTGTGCTGAATCTGCACAAACCCATGGTGTCTACGCGTGCAGGTCAGGCACATCCAGCAATACCTTCAAGAGATCTTTTCTGAGTGGTCAGCAGGGTTTGACCTTAACGTTTTATTTCACTAGCCAGCCGGGTTACTGAAACAGATTCTTAACCAGCCCGCGGGCATTTTCACTAGCCCGCGGGCATTTTTACTAGCCCGCATGTTTTTCTTTTATAGAGTGTCTCATAAACAACAATGTGCATACATGTAAAATGTGTATCATGAGGCAATCTTATCGGTGTTTTAAATAAACAGATCTAATAGTTTAACCCTAAAGAGTAAATAGAATTAGACGCAAATTGATACAGGTTTGCTTTCTGAATGTAATGATTTATTTCTTCCTGTCCTTTCATCTTTGCTGTAGCCCAATAATTTTTGACTCGCCAGCCAGGCTACTTCAGGAATAGTTTGACTAGCGTGCCACTGTTTTGACTAGCATTTGGCTAGTAGGCTACCGCTAACGTTGAACCCTGGTGGTCAGCCCCAAGAATCCCTTTTTAACTGTTGAGGGGACACTTGTGCCAGAACCCACAGAATTTGTACACCCCATTTCATTGCTTACAAGGTTGGCATAGAATTTCTGTTCCCTCGGGGAATATGTTTACGCTCCCACATTAGCAGCGCTTCTTTAGAAAGGTAAACAAGCTTGCGACAGAATGTTTATTTGCAACTTTTTAGCGCCGCAGCACACACTTGTAGCTGGCAGTTTCAAATATCCGAATATTCCGTCAAATGCAGGTTCGAATAATCAAATACTAACTTATTCGAAAATGGACAGTACTAGAAATTCAGGCCAGACCTATGACTGAACTTGATTGATTTGTGACTTTGCTTGTCGTTGACTTGAGAACAACTCTCTTTTAACCCTAACCTTCCTAAATCCATCAAAATCCATTCCCCAATTTGGGGGATTTTGGTAGGCAAGCCATGAGTACCAAGTCCATCAAAATCCACCTACAGTAGTGGTGGTCTTGTGGTGGATTTCAGCAGATTTGGTCCTAAAACATTGTGTAAAGCAGGGTCAGTGATGGATTTTGGCAGACTTGGTTCAGTACTTAGTAAAAGACACTAGGGAGTTAGGGTTAAGAATATCTTAAGACGACTTACTCAGGGCATATGATGTAATCCACGCCCGTGATCCCCCGTGGGGGCGGTCTGTACTTCCAGTCCCGCCCATCGTCTGACATGATGATGGCCTGATGGGCCTGCCCCATGCAGTGCAGGTGCAGGTCCACATCCGTGGCACATTGGAGGTCACAATATGTACAATATAATTTAGATTCTGTCAAAAAGGATTAAATACAGAAAAACAATCAATAAAATCGTAGCAGTGAGGCTGGAAAATAAGATCTCTAAAGGTATTCAGAGGTTAGCGTCGTTGCGATAGACTTCGGAGCCTAATGCTCCATAACCCTCCTAGTCTTCTGCACTTCACAACCCTTCCAGTTTTGCGAAACCACTTTTGTCCACAGAGTTAGCACCCACACTTCAAATTCCTTAGAGGCAATCTTCTGTGGAGTACGGATAACACTTAAAATCCCTGCACAATTCTTTTGTGTGGGGTTAAGCTCAGAGCAAGCAGGCTGATTCAGTCACATTTCAATGCTCTCCACAGCTCTGTTTTTAGAGTGTGCAGTGCTCTCTGTGTGACACAGTTACTTGTTCATTTCATATCCCTTCATTTGAAACTGACCTGCAAGTTTTTCAAAGTTTTTACATACTGCTCTGAAGACTGACTTTCCACCAGGACGGTTAATCCTCCAAATTCTACGTGGTTGGCTGATTTTGGATTGCAGGTGGATATATTGCGATCTTGGTTTATTTTGGAGCATTGATGGTCTATTTTGGTTTGGGAAGATTGACGGCATTAACAACTGCTACCTGATGTTAAGGGTTGTTAGAAATCTTGATTTTATTTTAATAAAAAAAAAATCAGATTTTTTTTATTTAAATCGATTTTTTTTTTTTTAAGATTGATTTTTTTTTTTTTTTTTTTACATTGCTTTTCATTTTTATTTTTGATGATTTCATATATTTTTTAAATCAGTGATTTATATCAAATGATTTAAATCAAACAACCCTGGTACATTGATAGTGATGGTTACTCTGGACAATCAATGCTTTCACCATTACCTGAGACCACAGTGAGTAGACAATGCATGTGTGCCCAGATCGGTATATACAAAATGTCACTGACAATTTGTACGGGATGGGCGCACTGTCCAATTTGTAAAATAGCCACTGAAAATTCTCCATTACTGATAAAAACTAAGACACCAGCTTTTTACCTCCTGATTTGGATGACCTGGTTTTCTGTTTCCCCTCCCCACTGGCGTTCCTCTCCCTGTTCTGCGATGGTGTTGCCCCGGATCCTGTACTGCTTGCACTACTGTGGGCTGTTCTACTGCTTCCGGGCGGGGGTCGGTTGGCGGCGTGCGGGAGTGCGCTTTGTGCTGTGTTTCCTACGTTATTTACACCCTTGTCTACTGCTCCCTGTTATTGGCAGAAACATGAATAAAGAGAAAATAAAAATGAGGGAAATACATCAGCATTAAAAATCTACATCACAGGAAATGGCTGTAGTAAAAATTCATCACATCATGAAGAGCTTTAGTGAGCTTAAAAAATATTAGTCCTAAAAATTGTCTTTTTACAAACAAAAGCATTCTATGATAAGACAAAAAGACTTACCCCCATTTGTTGTAAAGCTTTCTTTAATCTATTCATTTCTTTGGATGCTTGTGGATTCTGCAAAGGAACAGAACAAACAATAAGATTTTTAAAGTCCAACTTTAGAGGCTAAAAAAGAAAGTAAGCGATAACACATCAATAAAGTTCGCACGGGAACGTAAAGAAAAACATCCTGCAACAGGAAAAGCAGATTAAAATCTAGCACCACCAAAGAGCAGGGGTCATGTGAAAAAAAGACATAAAATCAGTACCTGGATCAAGAGTACTTTCTGAAAGGTTAATCCTTGATCTGGAATTAATACCAGTAAATCCTGAAGGTTTAATCCAACTGTAAAATCACGGCGGAAGTTGTAATTTCAAGGCAAGGGAAGACGTGGGGGAAGGGGTTAGTTGGGGTAGCTAGTCACCCTACTTTCATCTTACAAATGTTAACCCAAACTTCCTGGGCATTTTTGCTAGGGATGCAACCTCAATCATGCAAAATCCTCTGTTATTTCTTGAATGTGGTCCTCAGAGAGGTGACCACTGCCTGAATCCTGCAAAATCCTCCTGCAATCACTGTCAATGTGTTGAGGCAGAGCCAGTGAAATCCTGGAGCAGTGCGGAGGATTAAAAGTTTACCCTAGGCCTAAATGTGTGCATGGCTGAGCATAAACACAAGGTCCGGCCCAAGACCTTGACACAGTACATCCTCCAAACTCAGCCACACCTTTTTGCCATATAGCCTCAATCCTGCAAAATCCTCCATTTTGCAAAATGGATTTGGGAGGATTTGGGAGGATTTGGGAAGGTTCGGGTTAATTATTAACCCTGACCCCCTTGAATGATTTACTAGGAACCTTCCTCACTTTTGCAAAATGATCCCACACTGTATGGTAAACTCTACAACCAAACTGTTGGACTCTGATTATGGTGGATATATGCCTAACCCAATGTGAAGCATAATCAGTTTACTAGTGCAGTACTCACTCCAACAGATTCCAACAAAACATGCAGTTAACAAAAAACTAAAAGAAATAACACAAAAAGTTAGAAAAATAAGGTTTGCACATACCTTTGGCTCTATGTTGGTCCAGGCTTTGGCCGTGTCGAAGGCCTCCTTGACCCTACCCAGTCGGGACAGGGCTTGTGTCTTGCGCGTGAGGGCCTTGGCCATACCGCTACGGTTCCGCGTCGACAGGGACAAGAGCTGGTTACAGTCCTCCAGGCAGTTCTCATATTGCTCCTAGTCAATCAAAAGGAAAACAAGTAAAGTCACTTAAAGAAACGAAGAAATCCACTGATACACTCCTAGACCCTTGAAAATCCACTAGAAAGTTTCAGAAAATTTTGCCAGATTGATCCTTAAATCCTAGGCATTTTAGTCAGGAATTTCCTGAATCCGACAAAATCCACTACTAAGCAATAACCCAATGGTGAATTAATATTAGTTACATTTAGAATCTACCATTTTTGGGCCGTTGCAATTTGACAGAGTTTGACCGTTGCGCATGCGTCAGTTTTCCACTGAATGGTTCTCAGACTTTACATCCATTGAAAAATAATTCTTCAGAGCCATGAATCAGAAAGAGAAATTAAATTTGAATTTCACCAGGTGTTTAGGCGAGATCAAAATGTAAGAATGCGTTTTCATTCTCTTACATAGGAAGGGGTCCTAATAGTTCTGCAGGCACATTTCTTTGTACTTAAACCATCATGGATGTCGAGTGCCATATAAATTGAAGGCTCAATCCTTCCCTAATCCTGCCCAAAAATGCTGAGCCTAATGCAAACATTTAGTTGGAAAGAAATTCAAAGAATACAACATCAGCTTTAAAATGACAGTCTTTAACGAATACACTATTTGGAATTCTTCACTTTTAAAAAAAAAGGGTCTTTCAGCCAAACGATTGATTTTGATCAAGTTTTTCATGTCGTTATGCAAAATTCACATGTGCTACTTTACAGCAAGTTGGTAATAAAAGGTCACAAATTATGTTACACAGTAAGGCAAAATTTGAATTTTTCTTTACCAATTTGAGATAGCAGACGGAGCGTTTATTGATGTAGGACAGCTGGAGCTCCCTGTGCTGGTTGGAGACCGAGGGGTGGATGTACTCCAGGGCCTGGGTGAACAACTCCGCCGCCTCGCGGTACTGTTGCCGTAGGTAGCGATCATTTGCCTTCTCGTGGAGCTGCTTATGCCTGCTATCCATAGTATGCCACCTTAACCTGGGAGGAGAGGTCACAGGTCATAGGTTATTAAAAGGGGGTCATGGGTCATTACACCAAGGTCACTTTCTAAAATCTTCCAATGCCACCGTAGGTAGTCATGGAGCTGCTTATGCCTGTTATCCGTCTCAACCTGAGAAGTAACAGAGGTCAAAAGTCAAAGGTCATCACATTGACAGGTCATAGGATCTAAGGTTTTCAAAACCTTGGCTTTTTTCCCAGCTACGGCTTCCAGTGATTTAAGGCCCTGATTTGTGGAATTCCTGCTCAATATACATGGATGTATAAAGAGGACTCTGAAACGTTCGCCTGAAATTTGAGGTATAAATGAAAAGTATACACATATGTATGGTGCCAGTATATTATTTACAATTTGGAAAGAAACTGAAACCAGGCAATCGTAGGGGGACTTTACAGTACATCCCTGAATATAGGTGCAGGTTCCGGGTACCAGGGATAAATCTTAGGCCAGGGACAAAGCTGAGATTTGGGAAATTGGCCTATTTCAAAGGGATAAAAATGGACTTCTGGAGAGAGGTCAAAAGATTCCGGTCAATAGAAACCAATGAAATTCAGGTTAGTCTTCAGAGAATGCATACTTCCAATCAATGGTATCACCTTTATAACCCCAAGGTCACAGGGTCAAAGGTCATTGAAAAGGTCATCATACTCACATGAGTTACTGATTCTGACAACTAAATTTGTCTACAGTTTTAGCAACTAATTTCAGTATTCATGCATTGGTTAAATTTAAAAAGGGTAAAAAAGGCAAAGGTCAAAGCAAAGCTGTAATATCTTCATAAGTCCTCACAAGTCCAGCACATGTAGAAAATAAATCCAGCCTCAAGTCAAACAAGCCATTCAAATGACCAGTCACAAAGGAATTCCACTGGCATTGTTGTGACCGTTTTGTGGTTTTGACTTATGATGGACTCCACAATAACTCTGGGTCAAAGGTCACATAAACATCTGATATCACCAACCACTTCAAAAACGCTATCAGTCTGGAGGTTTGGCATAACTTGTGGAACAAACAAGTGTTATCTGCCCATAAACACCGAGTCAAATATCACAATAACCATTCACGTTGTTTCACCTGTTTGTTAAAAATATACCAGAAAACCGGACAGCTGCACAAATGTAATGGTTATGTCTAAATGCATCAAAGGATGCATTTAATTCTAATATCCCTAAATCAACACCTAATTCTTGTATTTATCACAAACAAAACAGTATTTTACTACAATTTTGAAATTTTTCTACTGAAATACATTACCTATTTTTCTACAAGCAGGTGGCATCCCAGACATGTTACAGCATGCCCACCTATGTCATAATAATCACCACTAAAACGACTCCCTACAGACTGGGGAGACCCCAAGACAAATACAGGCTAGGATTTAGCACACAATGCACGTGACCTTTGACCTCTTACACAGCTGCAGGGATCAGTGGTTGGTCCCAAGCAAGCAGGCCGGGATGTGTGGATGGAGCAAACATTTTATGATACACAACAAATTTTTGGTGTGTTTTTTTATAACAGTGTGCAATTTCAATGTGACGCTGCTGAACAAAAGGGTAAATTACGGTCAAATAATGAACGCTTGAGACGTGTCACCAAAAATATGAGCATAAAGTCTGAAATTGCCATCACTTTTTGTAGTACAGTAGGGTATTGAAAGCTGAAATTCGAAAGGGATGGTCGATTTTTTTTCCAGGTATCTCTCAATCTTCAAGTCAAGTCTTCTACCTTTTCTTTTGGGAGGAGGGGGGCTTTTCCGCAAAGTTGCAGAAAAACCTTATTTTTCTTCTTTTTTCTTTCTTTCTGTTAAACATCTTTAACCCTAACTCCCTAGGCCTTTTTGCTAGGATGTAGCCTCAATCCTGCAAATTCCTCCGTTATTTCTTGAATATGGTCCATGGAGGGATGACCACTGCCTGAATCCTGCAAAATCCTCCGGCTATGTCTGTCAATAGGCTGAGGCAGAGGCAGTGACATCCTGGCGCAGTGCGGAGGATGTCAAGTATAGTCAAGGACTAAATTTATGCACGGCTGAGCATAAACAACACAAGGTCCGGCCCAAGACCTTGACACAGTGCGTACTCCGAAATCAGCAACGCACTTTTGCCATGTAACCTCAATCCTGCAAATTCCTCCAATTTGCAAAAAGGATTTTGGAGGATTCAGGGCGGTTAGGGTTAAAACATGCTTTCATCCTGTTAACTTAGTTGACTGTTCATGGATTCACTGTAATACAAGGGATTTTTAAATGCCATTTTCTCAAACATTAGTTTTACAAAGTAATTTAGTTGGTAGTCTATACATCCATAACCAAACCCTGTATCCCCTAATGTTACATACCATTAGAAAACTCATTTTTTTAAATTAAAGTTCGACTTCATGCTCACTTTGTGGAGACTGATCACATTTTTAAATACTGACCGTATATTAGGGGTGTGCATTTACGGGTAGAACATGAACCGGGCAGCTGATAAAAAAAAACCTGGTACCCAGGTCCCCGTTAAAGAAACCCAACCGACTGTAAGTGAATAATAGTCTAAAGCATCCTGTGAAATCGTGGCACCTTGTGTGCTGTCATTTTCAAGAAAAATTGAATTTTGTATCAATTTCCAACGATGAGTGGCCGACAATCGCTGCAAAAAAAAACAACTTACTTTTTTTCAAATAGGCCTACTGCCCCAATTTACCAAATTCAATTAGTCCACATTTTGTTTAAATGCGCTAAAACATGGATCCGTGAACGGGTGCAAGCCAGCTTCCCTGACTTGACAATTCTTCAACGTCCATAGATTGAGCACTCCGTTTCATCTGAACTACATGTAAAGGTCAGGGAACCAGACTACAAGAATAACATTTTTTTCTTGGTTTTTCCAGCATCTATGAACACAAAACTTTAAACAGGCCAGTGTAAAAATATTTGCCATAAGATACAAACCCCCAAATCCATCCATTTCTGAAAATTACAACAAAAGCAAATGTTGTATAATACCTTTAATTTAAGAAATATCAGTTGGCCATTTCATTCTAAATTGATAGCAACAAGCAGGACATGAGGCCTATTCAAAGAACTGTAAGGCCAAAAGAAAAAGTCTCCGGTTTCTGGTATGCGCGCGCGACGCCATAGCCATGTGCGTCGGCAAAATGAATTTTTTTTTTTTTCAATGAAAGATGACGTCTCAAAACCGCCAAACTCACTGGTTTGACTGGAATCCTGCTGCTGCACAATTTTAACGTGTTTTTAGATTGGGTTATGGTCGCGAATAAGCTTTATGTGGCCTCTCTGGACTCCCATATATTTGCACTAAGTTTAGTCGGGCACCATTTGCAGTCATCAGCCGACATTTGAAGCAAAAAAAACAGGTAAAAAAAAAAAAAAAAGCCGCGTCGCCGCACCACTTTTTGGGCAAGCTCCATACCAGAAACCGGAGACTTTTTTTTTTGGCCTAACGGTAAGTTGATTCTGTGAGAGTCTGCTTGCCCACAAAAAAAAAGCAGCTTTTCAAATCTGGTCCCTGACATGCCCGAGTCTACTGCCTGGCTGCAATAATTCATGGGGCCGTATCATAAGTCCGACGCCTCATAGGTCCGATGCCTCATAAGTCCAAAATTTCGGACTTATGAGGCGTCGGACTTATGAGGCATAACATTTATTTATTCCGTCTCATAGGTCCGACGCCTCATACATGTAGGTCCGACGCCTCATAAGTCCAACGCCTCATAAGTCGACGTCGGAAAAACGAGGCGCTTAATTTGTCCGACCTACGAGGCGTCGGAGCTATGAGGCGTCGGACTTATGAGGCGTCGGACTTATGAGGCATCGGACCTATGAGGCGTCAGACTTATGGGCCTTTATTTGGTTAGGGGATGCGAATTTTGTCGGACTTATGAGGCGTCGGACCTATGAGGCGTCGGACTTATGAGCGGACCCCAATTCATGTGAGAACAGAAGGGCATCTAGACAGAGAAATTCAAATTTGCCAAGTGGAAAACTTGGCAAATTAAAACAAAAATGGTTTTTGGAATAAATTGATGGAATCAATATTAGAACCCTTCTGAAATATGAATGAAACTTTCACAGCTAACCCCATTGTGACTGTACATGTACCTACATGTACCGGATAAATACAGAGTTCTAAATAATAAATAGGTCCTTGGTTACACCACGGAAAATTAATCTTAAAACAAGTAAAAAGCTGTATTAAATAATTGTCCAAAATTGTTGGCTGCATTTTACTTTATATGAAGTTGCAAACCATTTATAAGTTGCGAGTCTTAGTACAACTGCAACCATTGTTTAATAAACGTGTAACCTTTCATGCCGACCCTACCCGCATCCGCACATCGTCTCGGTATTTGTACATGCTGCCCTCTACTGTTTACTATTTACTTCATCACATTCCATCCAACCATGGAGGAAGGCTTCCTCCATGATCCCCAAAAAACAACAATGCCATTTTCGGGTGGCCCTACAATTCTACAGTTGCTCAATTAGTCATGTTATTAGGATACTTAGCCCCATAATGTGGCCAGTTTACTGGACTGCCTCCGTAAACATAGGCCACACGTCCACCATCTTGGAATCTGACTCGCCGAAATTTTGAAAGTGATTTCCACATTGCGACTTCAAACCCAGTTCATTTATGCTTTAAAAATACACTCACCCTCTTAATAACAAAATTAGAACCTGCTGCCAGTGTCAGTTGCCCAGCTGCTGCGTAATTTACGACATTTTCTGGACTATTCTGACTACAGAGATGAAACTGGCATGTGGCAAAAAAATCGGAAAAAAGGCCGAACAAAAATACGTGTCCGAAATCTGGGCCGCGCTGCCATTACACACATATACATGCATGTACAATATACTTCATGCCCAATTTCCGGACACCAACTCCTGCTTTATTTTTTATTCAAACAAAATTTTATGATGAAAAAAAAAATGAAAAATCTAAAAATTAATGTGGCCTGACGTTGCGAACTT